TTCGCCAAGCAATGCGGATTTTTCCATGGAGGACCGAGGATCTGGCCAGGCGTCCGGACTTTTGGGGGGATCCAGGGTGGAGGTTTCTGAGCCGCTGGTGGCTTCTGCAGGCCTCTTGGCGAGAGTATGTAACATCGCAGGGTCGCGCAAAATCGCCGCTGCATCAGCGATGCGCGAGATCTGGAGCACGGCTTCCTCCACACCGCCGACGCAGACGCATCGGCGATGCGGTGCGGTCTTCGTGCCTCATTCGCTCTGGCCCCATTCGGGAGACCTCCAGATGCCCTCCTATAAAAGGCGTCCCGAACATTCCCAGCTGGCGCTTCCTCACATATCGATCCGTCTTCGAAAGAGTTTTGGAAAAGCTATGGGCGTGACTTCTCGCCGCGACGTGACCTTTCACGAGGTTGGATCTCGGGGAAAGACAATTAAAAACTGACTTTCCTTTTCCTCCTTGGAGTTCTCTTTCTTCGCCAACGTGAGAACATGAGTCTTCTATCCACGGGGCTGGAGTCAGTGGTAAAGAGACTCGCCTCAGGCTTTGAAGTGTGGCGTTGCACGAATTCACCATGTAATTGAGAAGCAGTCCAGCGCGAGTCAGGGCCGTCTTTGGGATCGGAGCTTGCGAGTGCTTCCGGTGCAGTTCGCAACATCGAGCCTCAGAAGGCATTGTAGCGGACACATGGCATTCCTTTGAACGCGTGCGCGCTGGGGATGCGGGCGAGGCGCAGGGTACGCTTTCTGCCGAGCGATTGACACTGGAGTAGCGGACACAGTGACTGCTCTGGAGCACGCGTCGGCGAGCATATTTGGGAGATAGGCCTGAGAGTCCGCGCCGAGGTATAGTAGCGTTATTATGAGCCGAATTGGTGCTCTGCTCGGCAGCATCGGCCCAGATGAGCACCACCAGCGTTGGCGGTGCATCGGCAAACTTCTGCGGAGCACCCTTGGGCGGCCTCAGGAGTAGAACATAACTCAGCAGAACAGGTCGCAATTGATGCGCCATGGCGCGATGCATTGTTTCTCCCGCTGGCGCCACGGCACCCGCCCGCAGCGCCCTCGATGGCGTGCGTTTGCGGGCTCCCGTTCGTACGAGCAGGGGAAGCGCGCCTCCCCTTTCGCCCTCTCGCCCAGCTCTGCAGCGTCGCGGGAGCAGCGGGGCTTCCTGGAAGTAGTCCGTCCTGGCCCCGGCATCGTGGGCGGCGGTGCCGGGTAGATCGGAGGACGCGTAGTGGGGGGGGCGCTAAATCGGGGGGCAGCGAGGACTGCAGAAAGCGGCCCTTCAGTGCACTTATAGGGGCCCTCGAGGGCACCTTCCCCCCTTTGATCGCCCCCCCCAGTAATTCGCGCCCAAGTAGGCTGCTTCGTCCTGGTCCAAGCCGTCGCCACGCTGGCTAGGGCCGCCTGGCTGTGAAACTCATTCGAGGCAAGTGCGTCAGCATCCTCGTGCATAGCTTGTAAGTCGTACTCCTTCTGATCCCCAAGCTTGGCCCCTTGCAGGTCATCGGTGAATCAGGGCGAGTGTCAGGATCACGGGATAACATGGGGCAATTGTCGACTGCTGATGCCCCCCGAGAGTCTCCGAAACCAAGCAGATGCTGTGTATTCCTGTGGGCCAACCCGATGGCAAATCGGCAGTACGCTAGCTATGAAGCTAGGAGGGGATATACGCGGGCTCTGTGTGCAAGACGGGCCTGGCCAACATCCGTGCGTGCGTACAGCCGGCGTCTTCCAGATGCCCACGACCCCTCGGGTCTGAGCGTGACGACCACCCCCAGTGCTTTGATGATCCTGTGTGAGCCGTATCTCTCCGGGAGAAGTCGCCAGCACCCCTGAGGATGAGGGAGGAGGATGAGGAGGAGGAGGAGGAGAAGGAGGAGGAGGAGAAGGAGGATGGAGGATGGAGGATGGAGGATGGAGGATGCAGGATGGAGGATGGAGGATGGAGGAGGAGGAGGAGGAGGAGGAGAAGAGGGAGAGGATTGATGATGCTGATGCTGATGCTGATGATGATGAGGATGATGATGATGATGAGGATGAGGATAATAATGGTGACGAGGATAATGATGATGACGCTGATGATGATGCTGATGCTGATGCTGCTGATGCTAATGACGATGATGCTGATTATAATGATGATATTGATGGTGATGATGCTGATGATGATGCTGATGATGGTGATGATGGTGCTGATGAAGATGATGTTGCTGGTGATGCTGATGATGCTGATGATGCTGCTGATGATGATGCTGATGATGCTGCTGATGACGATGCTGCTGATGATGCTGATGATGATGACGCCGACGTGGCTGATGCTGATGATGGTGCTGATGTCGATGATGATGCTGATGATGATGCTGCTGATCATGATGGTGATGGTGGTGGTGTTGGTGGTGATGACGAGGATGATGATGACGATGATGATGATGATGATGATGACGATGATGATGTTGCTGATGATGCTGCTGACCATGACGCTGCTGATGATGACGATGATGATGAAGATGATGGTGGTGGTGGTAATGATGATGATGATGATGATGATGCTGTTGCTGATGACGATGATGATGACGTGGCTGATGCTGATGATGATGCTTATCATGATGCTGATGATGTTGATGATGAATCTGATGCTGATGCTGATGACGAGGCTACTGACGATGATGATTTGGATGATGATGACGATGCTAATGATGCTGATGACGATGATGATACTACTAATAATAATAATGATGATGATGATGATGATGATGATGATGATGATGGTTATGATGATTCTGCTGCGGATGATGACAATGATGATGCTGCTGATGATGCTGATGATGCTGCTGATGATGATGAAGACGACGAAGATGATGATGCTGCTGCCCTTGTTTATGCAGCTATTGATGCTGCTGCTGATGATGCTGATGCTGCTGCTGCTGATGCTGCTGATGCTGCTGATGATGAGGATGATGCTGATGATGCTGCTGCTGATGATGCGGATGCTGATAATGATGATGCTGAGGATTATGATGATGAGGAGGATGCTGATGATCATGATGATGAATGAGGATAAGCATGCTGATGCTGCTGATGCTGATGATGACGATGCTGATGATGATGCTGATGATCATGATGATCATGATGATCATGATGCTGATGCTGCCCATGATGATGCTGATGATGATGCTGATGATGTTGATGATGATGCTAGTGCCGATGATGATGTCGATGCTGATGCTTTTGCTGATGCTGATGCTGCTGCTGATGATGATGATGATGCTGTTGCTGACGATGATCATGACGATGCTGATGATGAATCTGATAATGCTGCTGAGGATGATGATGCTGATGATGATGATACTGCTGATGATGATGATGCTGATGCTGCTGATGCTGCTGCTGAATATAATGATGATGATGATGATGATGATGATGATGATGATGATGATGATGATGATGATGATGATGATGATCAGGATGCTGCTTTGATGATGATGATGATGCTGCTGCGGCGGCTGATGATGATGATAATGATGCTGATGATGATGTTGGGGATGATTGTGATGATGATGATGACGATGATGATGCTGATCATCCTGATGTTGATGATAATAATGTTACCGCTGCTTCTGCTGCTGATGATGTTTATGATGATGAGGATGATGATTCTGATGCTGCTGATGATGATGTTGCTGATGCTGATGATTTGGATGCTGCCGATGCTGATGATGAGGTTGATGATGCTGATACTAGTGGTGGTGGTGCTGGTGGTAGTGGTGGTGGTGGTGGTGGTGCTGGTGCTTGTGGCGAGGATGATGCTGATGCTGATGCTGATGCTGCTGATGATGATGATGATGATGCGGATGATGATGAGGATGATGATGACGATGACGATGATGATGATGCTGATGATGATGATGATGATGATGGTGGTGTTGGGGGTGGTGGTGATGGTGATGATGATGATCCATGATGATGATGATGAAGATGCTGATGCGGATGATGCTATTGATGATTACATGATGATGATGATGATGATGATGATGATGATGATGATGATGATGATGATGATGATGATGATGATGATGATGATGATGATGATGATGCTGCAGTTGCTGTTGCTGATGCTGCTGCTGATGATGATGATGAGGAGGATGAGGAGGATGAGGAGGAGGAGGAGGAGGAGGAGGAGGAGGAGGGGGAGGCGGATGATGATGATGATGATGATGATGAGGAGGAGGAGGAGGAGGAGGAGGAGGATGATGAGGAAAAGGAGGAAGCGGAGGAAGTGGAGCAGTAGGAAGAGGATCAGGCGGAGGAGGAGGAGGATGAGGAAGAGAAACGGATGAGGAGGGGGATAATAATGATGAGGAGGATGCGGAGGAGGCGGAAGAGGAGGAGGATGAGGAGGATGAGGAGGTGGAGGAGGCGGAAGCGTAGGTGGAGGCGGATGTGGAGGCGGACGCGCATGATGATGTGGAAGAGAAAGGGGAGGAGGAGGATGAGGAGGATGAGGACGAGGAGGAGCGGGACGAGGAGGAGGAGGAGGAGTAGGCGGAGGGAAACGGAGGAGGAGGAGGAGGAGGAGGAGGAGGAGGAGGAGGAGGAGGAGGATGAGTTTGAGGAGGAGGAATGATGATGATGAGAGGAGGAGAGGAGAAACAGAGGGGGAGGGTGGGATGAGGAGAAGGAGGAGGAGGAGTTTGAGGTTGAGGAGGAGGATAAAGAGGATGAGGAGGAGGAGGAGGAGGAGGAGAATGAGAGGAGGATGATGAGGAGGATGGGAGGAGGAGGAGGAGTGGGATGAGGAGGAGGATGAAGAGGAGTAGGAGCAGGATGGGAGGATCAGGTGGTGGGGGAGTGGATGGGATGAGATGATGATGATGATGATGATGATGAATGATGATGATGATGTGATGATATGATGATGATGATGATGAGGATGAGGATGAGGATGAGATGGGGATGATGATGGTTGATGATGATGATGGATGAGGAGAGGATGAGTAGGAGGA